AATAAAAGAGAGACAGATACACACACACACACACACAGACAGAGACAGACAGAGAGAGAGAGAGAGAGAGAGAAGTGCCTGTTATAGAGGCAGGCTAGAATTGGGGTGAAAGAAGAGAAACTAGAACATTGGTGGTGGGAAATCTTTGGAGGTGGAGGGATGGGTGTTGGAACATTGTATGACTGAAACCCAGTCATGCACAACTTTGAAGCTGTGTACCTCAGATGATTCCGTTTTAAAAAAAAATAATAATATGAGGCTGGAGAAATAGCACAGCGGGTAGGACGTTTGTCTTGCACACAGCCGACCCAGGTTCGATTCCCAGCATCCCATATGGTCCCCTGAGCACCGCCAGGAGTAACTCTTGAGTACAGAGCCAGGAGTAACCCCTGTGCATCACCAGGTGTGACCCAGAAAGCAAAAATAAATAATAATAATAATAATAAAAAGATTGTGACTTAAAAAATGTGTTTGCTCTGCTAAAGCTGCTATGGGTGAACCGTGCTGTGAAGACTTCTATGTAGCAAGGACCTGAGGGTGCTTTTCAATCTGAAGCCAGTGAGGAACCCTCAGATCAACAGTTGCTGAATGGAAAAAATTCACCAACAACCAATCAGTGAGTGAGCCCAACAGCAGAGTTTTTCTTGGTTGACGCTTTAAACTAGAGTACCATGACCTTCATTGCAGCCTTGTGAGAGAATTTTGGTTTTGTATTGGGGCCATATCTAGCAATGTTCATGGCTCTGTGCCCAGGGATAAAATCTGTTGGACTCTGGGGACATATAAAGTGTGGGAATTGAACCTCGGGTCGATGATATGCAAGGCAAGCACTCTACCCATTGTACTATCTCTCTGTGAAAGACTTTTGGAAGAAGAAAGTCCAGGTAAATCATGCCTGTGTACTTGGCCCACAGAAGCTGTGTGTTGTTTTCATTCTGAGTTCATTTGTTACACAGCAAGAGATAACAAATACACATTGCTATGGTCACAGTCTGGGATGAGTGGGACTAGTCAAGAGTTCCAAGAAAAGTTGTTATTCAAACATATATTTGCAAACAATTTAACACAGGCTCTGGGAATCTGAGATGGAACAATTTTCTCTACTTCAACAGTTATTTATTCGCTGTGCTTACTACTGGATTGAGAAGGTGAATATGGCAAAACCCTAGTCATGGGCGTGAAGAGCTTATATGTTTGTCACAGGAGAGGGGAGGAAAGGGAAAAGTGTTAGTTCAATACTTCCTTATTTGATTATTTGTTCTAAGAGTTAAGGGGTTTTATGGGAGAGCATATAAACTTAGTGTAGGTAGCTCAGAGAAAGAGTCGGGGAGAAGGGACTGGAAAATTCCAGGCTGGACTATAATTCTTTTTGTTTGTTTTTGCTTTTTTGGGTCACACCCGACGTTGCACAGGGGTTGCTCTTGGCTCTGCACTCTGGAATTACTTCTGGTGGTGTTCGGGGGACCATATGGGATGCTGGGAATCAAACCCGGGTTGACTGCGTACAAGGCAAACGCCCTACCCGCTATGCTATTGCTCCAGCCCTGCAGGACTAGCATTCTTAAAGGGGAGTTGGAGAGGTGGTGAGATACCATGGGACAAGTCTATGATCAAACCGCATTCGATTATGTGCTAGTGGTATTGTGGGTTTGGTTTTTAAAAGTTCCTTTAAATATAAATGCTAAAATATTTATAGATTAAACTATATAATGCCTGGGATTTGCTTCAAAATAATTACTGGTTGTGTGGGGGTCAGGAATGAAGAGAGCTGAAAAGGAAAAAAAAATTTTTCCATATCAGTCAATAATAGTGGAAAATGGGTGAGGGGAACATGACTGTCATGATTCTAGTTCCTGTGCTTTTATATGTGTTGCATTTTCCACAACAGAATGTTAAAAACTTGTATCCTGAAAGCACATCTGGAACACTCTGTGTGTATATGTTTGAGAGGTCACAGAACATTTACCTTCCCTGCTCCCCTGAGGACTGAAAAGGTTAATAACTTCTGTAGGGCAAGAGGATGGAATGAGTTTATAGTAAGAGAAAACATAGACTTCTCAGCTACAAATCATATGGCTTACATAAAGTAGGTTATTTGGACAATTTACCTTTGTCTCCTCCTAAAGTGCTCTATTGCATAATTCTCATGTTCCCTTTTCACTATTAGAAATGGTATGCGTCATCTAGCATAGATTCTTATGACACAATTTACCTCAGAGTGAACTTTTCCCTAGGGGATTGCATTCATATATTGGTTCCCCAAAGCATGGAAAGGATTTTGTTATAAGGGCTTTGATGATATGGGGAGTGTTTGAGTGCGGCTTTGTAGTGGGGGTGAGAAAAAGTGGGATAGAAGAGATGGGAATCCTCCTTTGTTTGAAAAATTTTTGTTTGGCTTGCTGCAGCAATAATGGATTATGGATTTCTTTCATTAAGTTTTCTCTCCCTTTTACTCATGTGATTCCGAGGTGGGTCAGACTGTGAAATGAACAGCAGGGATGGAGAGATTTTATGAGTCAGGGATGTACTTAGGATAAATGTCCTTAGGATATTTTTCAGGAGGGAGTGGGGGCTCCTTTAGCTGAAGAGATGGTGCTTCATGTATCTGTCTGTTTCAATGTTAAATTGGAGGAACCATATTTTGTGATTTTGATTCAAAATCTTTTTCTTGAAAATACCCTGCCATTCAATCGAATCCCTCACCTCAAAGAATTGGAGACTTCACTAGAGTCAGATATATGCAAATTACATTTCCCTTCTCATGCCAAGGTTAAATAAAAGGGAAAATTATAAAAGATTGCTTATGGCAGCAGAGGATTTTCAGTGCCTGAAGATGAATTTGGTTATTTCAAAACCCTGATGAGCCTCCTTGTCAGTGCAAAGCAGGGAAGGAGTAATGTAACAGAGAGAAAGTGGACCTGGGCATAAACATGTTCCCACACAGCATTTAAGCTGGAAGGCTTTATTGTTGTTCCCTGAATCTCTGCAATTACAGGCACTTTCCTTTGCTCTGAAGCTCATTTAGCAAATAATGACAAGAGGTCCCCTCCTTTTCTGCGTTCAAGACTGGGCTCTGGCCTCGTTGCAGGGAAACACCAATTCCCAAACTAGGCTCCTCGGGAGCAAATGGTTTGTTTTCTCTCAGTGAATCCAGCCCTGGGTAGGTTCCCAGCAGCCCAGCCAGGCGTGGAAAATCTATTTGGAGCAACTTGTCCCCAGGAGGGAAGAAGGCAAGCTGATTGTGCGGGGGATCTGCAGCCACCATCCTGGCCACTTACGCACACATTAACACGCAAAGACACAGAAAGGATTCCCATTTGTGTGCTCACAACCACACATACCATATCCCCCCATCACCATATACACTTGACATGCTATTCATGAGACACACTGCCACACACACTTGTCTGTAAATCCTATCTACTGAACACTATGCAGACACACACTCAACTACACACTCTCCAGAAACCAGTTCATTATTGTTGTTATTACATGATTGACTTTGGGGACAAACCCTGCAGTGCTCAGAGCTTATTCCTGGTTCTGAGCTCAAGGATCACTTCTGGAGGGGTTTTGGGGGCCATCTGGGGTGCTGGGGATGGAACCCAGGTCTACCGCATGCAAGGCAAGCACGCTCTGTTGTACTATGGCTTTGGCTCTTCAATTCACTATTATACACAGACACACCACCTACAACCCACACTGGTCCTATACATCCTCTCTCCCTCTCTCTGCAAATGCACACTCCACATTACAGTCATTGTGTATCATGCAGATATACAACACACCCAACCACTACACATTCATCTACCCAACCCCCATATCACTTACACACTGTACTATGCACGCATTCCACACACCAGTCCCGTGCAACACTCGTGCAACACACACACACGCACACACACACGTGGGCTTCTCCCCCCCAGACTTGGTCACTTTCCCTCTACGACTGGGGGTAGAGCACTTAAGGTACCCGTGGGTGGGATCAGTGCAGCCAGGCCCTGGAGTGGGGGGCGGGGAGTTTCCCACGAGGCCGTCCCGGGGAGAGGCGTGCACGACGCGTGTGGCGCGTGGCTACGGGTACGCACGCGCGTGCGAGCAGCTCGCCCCGCGGGAGGCCCCCCGGTGGGCGTGTCCTCGGCGTGCCAGCCCCCGAGGACGGCGGACGCGTCGTGTGGCCGAGGCCGCGGAGGTGGCCCGGCTCGGAGGGAGAAACGCGTGCCGGTGCCTGCCCGAGACGCCGCCGCGGCGTCGGTGCCCGTTCCTCAGGGAGCGCGCGCCGCCACACGCGCCCCGGGACCCTGAGGGAGCGTGTGAGGGGGCGGGGCCGGGCGGCCCCAGACCCTGAGGGAGCGTGGCTATGAGGGGGCGGGGCCGGTCCCAGAGCCTGAGGGGAGGGGGAGTGTGAGGGGGCGGGGCCTGCCCCATACCAAGAGGGAGCGGCGTTATGAGGGGGCGGGGCCAGCCGCAGACCCTGAGGGAGCGTGTGAGGGGGCGGGACCCGGCTCCAGATCCTGAGGGAGAGTGCGAGGGGGCGGGGCCGGCCGCAGACCCGGAGGGAGCGTGTGAGGGGGCGGGGCCTGCTGCCCGGCCCTGAGGGAGCTTGCGAGGGGGCGGGACCGGCTCCAGATCCTGAGGGAGAGTGCGAGGGGGCGGGGCCGGCCGCAGGGCTCGGGGCCGGGCTCGCGGGCGCGCGCAGGCGCGGCGGCGCGCGGGGCGGGCTCGCGGGCGCTCGCAGGGGCGGCGGCGCGCGGGGCGGCCGCGCGGGCGGCAGGAAGGCGGCGGCGGCGGCGGGCTCGGCGCTCGGCGCTCGGCGCTCGGCTCCGTCCTCCCGCGCTCCCGGCGGCCGCGGCCCCCGGGACGGCGGCTCCTCTCGCGCGCCAGGGCCCCGCCGCCGACCCGCCGCCGCGCCCTCCTTCGTGCCCGCGCCGCGCCGCGCCCGACGCCGCTTCCCCGCGGGCTCCCGCCTCGCGGCGGCGACGACTCCGGAACCAGCGGACATGAGTGAAGCGGCGGCGGCGGCGGCGCCCGAGCGGGGCTGGAAGAGCGAGAAAGTGGACGAGGCTCAGGCCCTGGCGCGGAGTTGCGCCGCCCGCCGGCCCGACTTCCAGCCGTGCGACGGGCTGTCCATCTGTGCCACGCACAGCCACGGCAAGTGCTTCAAGCTGCACTGGTGCTGTCACCTGGGCTGGTGCCACTGTAAGTCGCGGCGGCGCGTCCGGCGCGGGCCGGGGACTCGGGGCGCCTCAGTCGGGGCTGCGCGACGCGGCGGCCCCGGGGTGGTGGCGGGGGGGGAGGGATCCCCGCCGGGCTTGGGCCCCGGGGGCGGAGGGGGATCTCGGGGGCCGCCCCCCACCCCGGCCCCTTCCCCGCCTTCTTTCTCTTCTCCCCGCGCCGGTGGGAAGGAGAAACGGTCCCTCAGAGTGCCGTGTCCCCCGCTCGCAAAAACGCTCCTCGGCTCGCTCCTCCTGCCCCTCCCGGGCTGCTGAGGGAGGGCAGGAGCGCTCCGAGGTGCCGCCGGGCTCGCTGTCTGGCATCCAGGTTGCAGGACGCGCTCCGAGTGGGAGGGGCTGCTCCCAAGAAGTTGCTGGGGACACTTTGGAAGGACCCCCTCCCCCCCCCCCGAGTTCCCGCGCGCACCCCCCACCCCCACCCCGGACCCCAGTGTAGGAGACTCTGAGAAATGAAGGACGGATCCTGATGGAAACTGAGCATCAGGGAGCGGAAACCAGTTTGGGAAAAGCCCCAACGAAAACGCTCTAGGCCGTCCCCCTGTTCCGTCTTGAGTTTGAAAACGAACGCAACCGAAGTAGCCGTCTCGATGAGAAATGCCACGATTCGATCAGCCCCTCCCCCGGCCATCCGGCCCGCCATCCCCGATGAAGGATCGATTTCTTTTTAGGAATCTCTCCGGTGCGCCGTTTCCACACAGCCTTGTAACAGAGGGTTTCCGGAGTGTGTCAGAAGGACACGGATCCCAGAAGTGATCTTAAGTTGAAATCATTGCATCCTCGTTGGAGAAAAATGGCTCCCCGCGAGAGATGCAGGAGCTAAGAAATCCTTATCTGACGTTAATTGAATGGAATAGATTGCATTCTGTTCAGTTTGTGATTTAAAAGGGGAGTGAATTCTGGCCTTTTTTTTTTTTCACCTGCACAAGGCACATTGAGCAGTGTTGAGTTTTTGGGTGTAACGCTCAGTTTCTTCCTTTCCCTCCCTTTCTATCTCTCCTTCTCTCCTCTCTCTTTCTCTCGGTTCTCTCTCTCACTCTCCCTCCCTCCCTCTCCCCCCTCCCTTTCTCTCTCTCCCTCTCTCATCCTCTGTGGAGATCTGCTCCCAGTCACACAGCAGAGCTTGGGCTGGGGGGCGGGGGGGGGGGGCGGGGGGGAGGGAAGGACGGACAGGTTTCCAAGTTGGAAGTGGCGGTTGCAGGAAACCTGGGATGCTGAAGTGCAGAGGTGGGGGGCTGTCTCGTCCACCTCTGGTGGGAAGGAGAGTGTCACCGGAAGCGGGCTAGGTTACAGCCAGTCCGGTTCAGTCCTGAGGGACTTATGCCAGCAGTTTCCCCTCAGAGCACAGCCCTGCTGGGGGGGGGGGGGGGGGAGGCGGGGGGAACCTTGTTGTCTTCCCAGCTGCCTCTTCAGGAGACAGCCTCCACTCTTAATAGACTCTTCCTTATATGGAGCTGAAAGCAGTTACTTTCTAACTTCTTTCAGTTGGTTCTATTTCTACCTTATGAAATCATATAGAACAGCCTATTTTTTTTGTTATTTTTTGGGGGGGGATTGTTTGTTTGGGGGTCACACCCAACTATGCTCAGAGCATACTCCTAGCTGTGTCCTCAGGGCTCACTCTTGGCAGACTCAGGGGACCTTACAGGGTGCCTGGGATGGAACTCCGGTTGGCCGCATACAAGGCCAGCGCCCTACCTGCTGTACTATTGCTCCAGCCCCCTTATCTTTTTTCTGCGTCCTGGGTGATTCAGCTCTTACAAGCATTTCTCATGGACAAAGTTGATCTTCTCTGTCACCTCAGCCACTGTCCCCGTTGGTCTGAAGTAGGTTGGCAGTTCATGGTCACTGAATGGCTGCATGAGGGTAGTCATCATTTTCCTTTCAAGGAATTTGTCTTATTTATACGTCTTTATTTCTTCCTGCCTTTCCTTTTATAGAAGAATATCCAGGCTCCTTAGCATCCTGATTCTGAGCGGGTATGAGCCACTCTAATAGTGAGCCTGGAGGCTGTGGCCCCTCAGCTGGCTCAGAAGGTATCCCTGGCGGAGTCCGAGTTGAGCAGGACTTCTGGCTCTGGGTGTGAGATGTTACTGCTGATACAGCTACTTGCATCACACTAGGCTTGTTTGTGTGTGTGTGTGTGTGTGTGTATATTTATATAGTGTGTGTGTGTATTGGGGCCACACTTGGTGATTCTCAGGGGTTACTCCTGGCTTCACACTCAGGAATTACCCCTGGCAGTGCTTGGGGGACCACGTGGGATGCCAAGGATCGAATAGGGGTTGGACATGTGCAAGGCAAGCACCCTACCTGCCGTAATATCTTTCTAACCCTATCACAGTAGGCTTTCTGATAGCCACGCCATACTGAGTTTGTGTCAGAGTGAATTTAGCTTGTTGTCCACCAGAGCTGTATAGCCTCTGTTTGGTTGGTTTGTTTTCCATTGGTGGCAGTTAAGTCACACTGCATACCCATCCGTAACATACACAATCCTGTCCTGTCCTGTTCTCCCATTGTTCATCGATTTGCTCGAGTGGGCTCAGTAACGTCTCCATTGGAGACTTTGTTGTTACTGTGTTTGGCATATTGAATACATCACAGGTAGCTTGCCAGGCTCTGCTGTGCAGGCGAGATACTCTCGGTAGCTTGGTGGGCTCTCCGAGAGGGGTGAAGGAATTGAACTCTGGTCGGCCATGTTGGCCGCGTGCAAGGCAAATGCCCTACTGCTGTGCTATCGCTCCAGCCCAACATACACAATAAAAAATATATATATATACATGTATATATAGATATGTATATATTTGAACACAGGCACTGACTTATATGTAAATAGTTTTTTCCGATTAAATTTTATTTTATTAGAATTAGCTGATTTTTGTGGCTTTTAATTGTGATTTTATATCTTAGCTTTTTTGTAATAATGTTAAAACCCCCATAGTTTGTTGTCGATCTGATACTGGCGATCAACAGTAGTATATTAACCTTCTACATCTTTATTCACTTTACTTGATATCAAGGTTGACTAGGAGAAAGCCCCAGATAGAGTCCTCAGTCATGCCTAAGGCACTGCTGCCCTTTTCGGCTGATAGCAAGTTACTAAGGAGCACTTAAGGTCTTTCAGACAATTACCCATTTTATCCACATAAGCATAATGAGAACCTGGTCAAATACCTTGTTGAACATCCTGTTTTTATTGTTTTTAGCTTTTGAGCTACACTTGTCGATATTCAGGGCTTACACCTGGCTCTGTTCAGAGAACACCCCAGGCAGTGCATATGGGGTGTCAGGGATCAAACTGAGGTCAGCTGCTGGCAAGGCTAGGGCCTTACTGGTTGTAGTAACTCTCCGGACCCATCAGACACCATTTTTACTGCTCCTTTGTTGATGTATCATCTATCTATAAACATATTCTCTTGGGGAAAAAATTATGGGGCTAGAGCAATAGTATAGTGGATAGAACACGTGCCTTACATGTGACTGACTGGGGTTTGATCCCCGGCACCCCATATGGTTCCCTGAGCACCACCAGGAATGATCTTGAGGGCAGAGATGGGAGTAAACCCTGAGTACTGCTGGGTGTGGCCCCAAAACAAAGAACATCAAAAATAAATGAAGTGGGTATAATTCAGGTTGGTTCCACAATGCTTACCGTTTTCTAAGGTGAGTAGAAGCTATTATTTTCCAATAAAGAATCTGAATTTAGAAAAGGAATGGCATCTAAGAGACTGGATTATTGGCAGTTGGCTCTTTTTCTTTTTTTCACCCCCTTGTCGCTGCTGTAATGTGGGCCCCTCTGGGTGCTGCTGGGGAACTCCAGGGCCGTAGGATTATGTTCAGCAGTGCTCTGGGGACTGTGCGATGCCAAGAATTGATCCCAGGGTTCAGCCCTGTGCTCTATGTGAGCCACATCTGCAAACCTCCTCCTCTCTCTTCTCCCTTCTCTTCTCTTTTTCATTATTATTATTATTTTTAAAGAAACGCCTTTATTTTTATTTACTTATTTTGCTTTTTGGGTCACACCCGGCGATGCACAGGGTTTATTTCTGGCTCATGCACTCAGGAATTACTCCTGGCAGCGCTTGGAGGACCATATGGGATGCTGGGAATCGAACCCGGGTTGGCTGCGTGCAAGGCAAACGCCCTACCAACTGTGCTATCACTCCAGCCCCTCTTTTTCATTTTTTTTTTTAGGGAATCTAGCAACTGTGCTCAGGAGACAGGCCATTGCCTGTGATGGGCCAGGTGCTCCAGGTGGCAGTTTATTACTTAGATAAGAAAATTCTTCCCTTCCTCTTCCCTTTCCTTTCCCTTTCCCTTCCCTTTCTCCTTCCCTTTTTACTTTCTTTCCTTCCCCTTCCTTCCTTTCCATCCCCTTCCCCTTCTCCTTCCATTCCCTTCCTCCTCCCACTACCCTTCCCTTCTCCCCCTCCCCTTCCCCTCTCCCTTCCTTCCCTTCCCTTGTTGCCATGACACTTGGTTGTGTTGCTTGCTCAGTGAGTTGCAGTGATCTGGAATCACACACTGTGGTGCATGCACACATGCTAGCTGGGGGTCTTGCATTTGTATTGTGCTGTGCTTGTCCAGCGTTGTGGTGGTTTTTTTTCTTTTTTTTTTTTTAACACATGCTTGTGTTGGGGAGCATGAGCTGTGTACTTGCTGTCTTTCAGTTGTGGTGCTTGCTGGGGGTTGTGCTTTGGTTGTGCTTGCACACACCTGGCTTGTGCTGGAGATTGTACTGTGTTATGAGGGATGAGGGTGGCTGCGGGAGTGGTGCCAGATGGCAGAGCTGGCAGGACCTAGGACTGTGTTAGCGAATCTGGGTGGTACCAGTGATGGAGTTCAGAACTGGCAAGTGAGCATCATCCACCAAACCTCTCCTTCCTTGAAATTTACCTGGGTATCAATTCCTTCTGCCCCCTTTTTAACCCCCTGATTCCCTCCCCTCACCAAAAAAAAAAAAAATTG